CACTCACCGGTTCTTCCTTGTACAGTAAGAGCTGTTCTTGCTAAGGTAAGTAGCATTATCAAAGCTAGATAACTTGTTATGTACCCAACCCTAATAGTTTTCATGTATGAAATGGATACATCAGAATTTAAAGTAGAGACTTGAGAAATGCCTTAGTCAGTAAGAGCTCACGCTGTACTTAAGTTTAGTTTTTTTTTTCTTTTTGGTTTTTTGAGACAGGGTTTTTCAGTGTAGCTCTGGCTGCCCTGGAAGCTCCCCTGTAAACCAGCCTGGCTTTGACCTCACAGAGATCCTCCAGCCTCTGCCTCTTGAGTGCTGAGATTAAAGGCTGGTGCCATCACTGCCCAGCATAGTTTTAAGCACCCAGATTAGGCAGTTTATAACCACCTATAACTCCAACACGAGTGGCTCTGACACCCTCTTCTGGCCTCTGTGGACACCTGTACTCATGTGCACACACCCACACACGGACACTTGCCCGTGCACATAATTAAAAATGAAACAAATGTTTCACAATTAAAAATATTGCACATAATCGATGCTCAACTAATACAGGTAATATGTGCTATGATCATGAAACCTTAATATTTTGAGGTATGCATCATTAATCCCATTTTGCAGATTGGAAAAATAAGATATAGTTAGATAATTTGTCAATATTTGCATGTCGAAGATTCTGTGGCTGAAAATGGAACATTGTGTAGTGATGTTTCATTTGGATTTTATTAAATAAAGTTTTCCTGAAGACCAGAGAGCAAAGCAGCCACACTGGCCATCCTTACAGACCAGGCAGTGGTGACACACACCTTTAATCTCAGTAGCCTCCCTAGGTTGCCATAGAAACTGGGCAGTAGTGGTGCACACCCTTAATCATAGAACTAGAGAGGATGAGAGGAGATGGCTCTCAGTTCAGTCTCCTTCTGAGGTTTTCCTGGAGGCAGAATCACGTTTTTGGACTGAGGTGAGAGCCAGTGTGGCTGTTTACCAATTGTTTTTTTGCCCATTCAGGGCATGCCCATTGCTGTTCTGAGGGCTCATCTGTGTTTCCTGGTTTGTCCCTGAGTTTCATCCCAACACAGTACACATATATTACTTCCATGCCCTAAGTGCTTCCACATTAACCAGCAATAGCGGTGCACACCTTTTAATGCCAGTACTCAGGAGACAGAACCAAGTAGTTTCCTGCAGGTTCAAAGTTCAATATTGTGTACATAAGGATTTCTAGTTTAGCCAAATCAATATGGTGAGATCCCCCAACAC